CTTGCCTGATTCCCTATCGGACACCACTTGAAATCCTTCGAATAAATGGACGAGTCGATGTAGAGTGCTTCTGGCGCCGTGTCGCTGGGGACGGCGCGCGGGTTGCGCTTGCATTTTACCTAGAATTTTAGGTTTAGAAGGATTAAATTGTAAGTACATACGTGAAAATCAAAAACCAAATTGCGATTCGGCTCCCCGGCCGGCTCCTCGGCACAATCGACGTTTTCGTTGATGCCGACAACCTAAAAAAGGAGGGCTAAATAAAAGCTTGAAAACTCAAACCTTTTCCGTCGGCCAATTGAACTGACGGGGATCGGCTTTGACGGGGAGGAGTCCGAAACGATGGCACAATACTTCGTCCTAAAAAAATACTCATCTATTCACCCCTTAGCATTATCGAAGCAGATAAATTTTTTGTAGAAGTAGGAATTGAAAAGCGGTATTTTAAAAATGTTTTTAATAAAATAAAACTACATTTCAACTAGATACCTCAAAAACTTGAAACCATAAAACTTCAGACTTTCAGAAGTTTTCAAAAAATAGAAATGTTCGTCAAAGATTTTAAAAATTTCGTATTTTTCAGAAACATTTGTAGTTTTTACGTTTAGGACTAGTAAATAAACAGCTTAAAACACTGACGCTATTTATGTTAAAAATTGGATCCCAAGAAAAATTGTGTTCCCCCCGATTATACGAAAGAACCAAAAAGAATAAAAATTCAAATGAAACACCTTACCTGAATGATTGATGTGTTTTGGTAGAGGTAGACTTTTTCGATGGCCATCGTTGGGACCTGGAAGAACGTTAATTTCCGCAAAATCCCCTTAAACCAACCTCAGCGATCAAAACGCGGCGAATCGCATTTGCGATCGGCGCCTCCACGCCGACCAGGTCGAATTCGAGCTCGAATTTATCCTTCGACTCGTTGATGATGTCAATCTACATACTCCTATCTCCGAAAAGCACAAAAAACTCACATGAATTGCATCCAAAAAGGCGGTCAGGTCAAATTCTTGGCAGGGCACGCCCGCAAAGTCCGTGGGGGTGTCGTAAGTCTGAAAGCCGAAGCTAATAGAATTCCGTAAAAATCGTACATTCAGAACGCGCTCGCTCAGCATCCGCAGCTCGTCCGTTGGCCAACCGGTTGTCTCTAAAAATTCAAAGCGCTCAGTTTAAAAGGATTTTAGGTACTCTCGCATTATCGGGGGGACAGATTTTTTTTCCTTAGGATCTAATTTTTCAAAAATAAATATTGGAAGTGTTTCTAAATGGTTTTTGCAACTTTAAACGAGAAAATCGTACAAAATTTATCAAAAACTGTCAAAAATATTGATTTTTCGACCAAAATGCCCCATTTTCAACCAAAATTTCGAGTTTTTGAAAGTTTTTCGATCGTTTTTTAACTAAAATCGTTTTACTGATTACAAATTAGTCAAAGACTTCTCTTGACGTTAACAGGCATCTCTATACTTATACAAAAAAGTTCGGTCCACCTCCGATAATGCGAAAGAACCGGAGTTACCTTTTTGCTGGGCGCCGCTCGTGTCCATCGGCTCATCCGGCACTTCCGCTTTTATCGGCGCGCTTCGACGCGGCATTTCCTGCGTTGTTTTTTTGTAAAAATTTGCGCCTCAAACAACCAAGATAGTCGGCGGGCTAATGAGACCCCGGGACTGAAAAAATATCACCCAAAAAAGATGAAAAGCTTTATTCTCAACAAAACAAATTACCAAAAAAAACAACCAGAAAATGTCATACAAGAGAAACCCCGGACGGGACCAATCACAGCGCGCTTGAGAATTTTGTGAAAAGTCGAAAAGTTTAAATGGAATTGACAGACCGCGTATGTGGGAAGGGAAGAAGTATTTGGATATTTGGCAGAAGAGCGGGGAAATGGAATAAATAGACAATTGCAATGGACGGTAAAGCAAGGTGGGTGTAAATTGGTGACGGCTTCGAATCGAGGGCGACTATTTCGGGGGCTTCGCCGTCCAGATGCCGACAGAGTATCTGAAAAGCGGATCGTTACCGAAGGAAAAAAAGTGTTTTATCGTTTTATGATCAAAAATACGAAACTTTTGGCATTTCTGAAACGGAAAAATTAAAAACAGCATAAATTTTCGGTTCTTTCGTAACTTTTTTTTCTTAGGATCTAGTTTTTTCAAAAAGAAAGGCTGAGTGTTTTACCGAAATTTCGGTTTTTTTTGAAAGGTTTGAATAGGTTTTCTAGTTGAAATATAGTTAGATTTTACTAACAACGTGATTAAAACACTTCCTATTAGGATACTAGACATTTCTAGACTACAAAAATTGGTCCCCTATAATTCTCACCTAAACCAAATCAAGACCAGATCACGGCCCATTTGAATCCACGACCAGACGGGCGTGATTTTCGACCCGTCCACCTCGCGCCATCGGACCGCCACCTCAAAATTTAAATCTTCGAAAACCTTGTAAAAATCGTACCTCGGCAATCGGCAAATTCCAGAGCTCGCAAAGGTACAGCAGTTCCACGTCGAATGCCCATCGTTCGATGTGGAGCACGGGGAATAACTATAAATCTTAGATAACGATTTTTATACTTTAAAACTCACCCTGGCGACGGCTCCCCTTGTAAAAAGCTTGAAGCCGCATTGTGTGTCGCGCACGGTGCGCACGGCGAAAAGTTGGACGAGCAAGTGGAAGCCGACCATCAGAATCGTTCGTGAAAGCGGCCGGGTGGCCTTTGATTCTTCTTCCAGATGGGCTCTAGAACAGTTTTATTTTCTTTGCAGTGCTAACCATCGTGAAAGGTATTTTTCAGACGCTAATGGAGTTTTGCGGCGTGATCGAGCTAATTGGATAGTGTTTTAAATTCTGGTCCTTTCGCATTATCGGGCGGGGGGAGGGGGCAAAATTTTTTTGTAGCAGCCTAGAAATGTCTAATAACTTAATAGGGAATGTTTTAATAGTGTTTTTAGTAACAACAAATATGTTTCGAGCCGAAAAAGTATCTAAAAACTTTTCCGAAGCTTGCTCAAAATCGAAATTTTGGTTAAAAATCGGTCGTTTTGGTCGAAAAATGGATATCTATATTTTTTACGGAATTTTGTAAAGCGTTTACGGTTAGGGATAGTAAAAAACCGTTGAGAGGCCCACTATTTATATTCGAAAAATTAGACCCTCAAAAAAAAGGTTGGTCCCCGATAAAGAACCGAATTTTCGCTTTCTTTTTGCTCTCGTTCAGCATTTTATAAAGGTGGGACTTGTTCAAAATCCCAAACTCTATCGAATGAGCCATATCACACTGCAAAACCCCAGTCAAAAAGCTAAGCCCACCTAGAGCCAATGCTGATGCCCGGGAACGACTCATCCACCGGCGGGCCGCCCATCAACCGGATCAGCTCGTCCTCGAGCTAAAAAAAAATTGGACGGCTTCATTCTAAATTATTACATTCTTGAAATCCGGAAACTCGGTTGCCCCGTCGGCGTCCGCGAATAAAATCAGCTTTCCGGAGGCGTTGAGCATACCGGCTCGCACGGCTCCACCTAAATTTTACTTTCTCGAAAACCAAATTTTATTCGTACCCTTCCCGCGGTTCTTCTCCAGCTTCAACACCTTGACCCCGCGATGCTTAGAAGCCAAATCGGCCGTCCCGTCCGTGCTCCCATCGTCGACAACGATGACCTAAAATGAAAGTTTTAATTTGGGTTTTCAGGGGTTTACCTCGAACGTAAATTTCTCGTCAAACAGCTTGCGGTTGTCCAGATATTCTATGCACTGGTCGAGCATCTTTGGCAGGCGCTCCTGAAAATCTGAAATTAACGAAAAAAATGAAGAACTGTGAATGAAATTGGATTTTTCGCATTATCAAGGGGCGATCTAGCGTTTTTGTATAAGCCTAGAAATGTCTAGTAACCTAATAGGAGGTGTTTCAATAGGGTCCTTAGTAAAAAATAAATCTGTTTCAACTAGAAAAACTATTTGAAACTTTCCCGGCAAAGTCGAAATTTTGGTAAAAATTCGCCATTTTTGGTCGAAAAATCAGTATTTTTGACATACTTAAATAAAATTTGTGATTTTTCACGTTTAGGGATAGTAAAAACCCTTCAAAAACACTTCCGCTATCTATATTTGAAAAACTAAAGCCTAGGAAAAAGTAGGTTCCCCCCTGAATTAATAAAATACCCTTTCGTTCATAGCCGGAATCACGACAGACAGGTAGACCTTTGCAGGGGTGTACAATCGTATGCTGTCGCTGGGGCTGGCTTGTAGAAGATTGTCGAAAGTTTCCTAAAAAATCTATATTATTTTCGAGGCTCCTCACATCAGTGTCGCCAGTCGGGTCGTAGACCTGCTCAGTTCGCAGCAACTCGGAGCGTGACCGTTTTGGCCATGCTGTCAGCCAAGAGACCCTAAAAATCAAATACAAGCATTAAGAAGAATTAATACTTACACAAACAGTATCGCGATGCCGGCGATGAACGCGAAGCCAAAGAGCAGGAGAATCAGCAGCCATTCGTCGTACTCCCAGAACTCCATGCGAAGTCCTAAAAACGTCGTGTTTTAGCCGGTGGATGTAGGAAAAATGTGGATTTCAGGAACTCCTTGATTTAACGCCCGCGCGCTTCTGAAAGAAGGAAAGGAAAAAAACGCCAAAAGGACAATTATTTATGGGAAAAAGCATGTTTTGCAGGGCTTTATTAAAAGGAGGGCCTTATTTCAAAGGAGCGCGAGCGGATGCTAAATCAAGGTTTCCACATTTTAAAAGTTTCACAAATAATTTTAATAAAAATTGATTAAATTTCATCAATTTTATTACTTTTGCCACACGGCACGCAGAAAATAGCGTTGAGGCGAATTGTCAAGAGCGCCCTTGCTTCGCGTGTGCGTAGTAGCACCTCGTACCGGCTAAAAGGAAGGGATCCAAAATTAAACTTTGTTAAACCTATCCTTTTCAAGCTCGAAATACGATATTCGATGCTTCAATAACTTCTTTTCAGGTAAAAGCGCAAGCTGGATGCTCGGGAGAAGCCTCACAGATGTCCGGCCACTGCAGCGGTCGCTATGCGCCCTAATAGCTCGGGCTCAATTCTCCGGATCGGCCTCCACGTCCGGTTGCTATCTTCTGAAGGCGCCCGAGACGAGGAATGATGTTAGGAGGTTAGAAAAATTTGTTATTAATTCGCTTTTTAGATTTAAAAAGACGTCCGTGCGCAGCAAGCACGTCGAAAGTGTCGTGGTGAAAAAGACGAAGAGCACGAAGCGCCCCGTTGATGTTTACGAGAATATGACGATAAAGTGGGGGAATGAAGAGATTACATATATTTTTGTAGGGAGCTCGTCGCGTCGCTGGGCGAGGATTTTGACTCGGTTTCGGATGTGCTCTTCAACATCGACCAGCGAAACCTGGAGGTCGTGGCGGAAAACAAACCGATCGATAAAGAATCGTTGGCAAAGGTCTGTTATTTAGTTTGGGAAATCAGGAAAATATCGGTTATGCCAAGAAAGTGGTTTGTTCTTTCGTATGATCGGCGGGGGGCACTTTTTTATAGGATTTGAAATGTCTAGTAAGTCATTAGGAAGTGGTTTAATAGTGTTTTTTTAGTAAAATCTAGCGATTTTTCAGCTAGAAAACTATCTAAAAGCTTTAAAAATGTTGAAAATCGAAATATTTGTGAAAAATCGTCCATTTCTGGTCGAAATTCGCTATTTTCGACATTTTTTTAATGCACTTCTGAAAAGTTTTCGCGTTTAGGAATAGTAAAAAACCATTTAGAATCACGTCCACTATTTATATTTGAAAAAATGGATCCTAAGAAAAAAGTTCACCACCGATAATGCAAAAGAAGCAACGTACTTTTAGCTCCTCTCCGTTTACAACGCCCGCCCCCGCCTAATACCGAGGCCGAAATTGGAGGAGGAAGACTTGGATCTATACCCACAGTACGTTTATGAGCGTACTAAACATTATTTTTAGAAGATTTCGGTTTTCCTAATCTTCGAAACAACTTCCTAATTTTCAGGCCCGCCCCACCTGCCAGCGAATGCGTCAAACGCTCACCGGTCGTGACAATTATGGGCCACGTTGATCACGGGAAAACGACATTACTAGACGCGTTGAGGTCAAAAAACTCGCACGAATCCGGTATTTTACTTTTTTAGAAGCTCACGAATTGTGGAGGGCGAATTCGGCGGTATCACGCAGCATATTGGCGCTTTTTCAGGTGGATAATGGGATTTTAAAGAGTTACCATCGTTTTTAGTGGATTTAAAAGGCGCGGGAAGGCGGGTGACCTTCTTGGACACGCCGGGGCACTCGGCTTTTGCGGCGATGCGGGAGCGAGGTTGGTTTGAGTCATAGAAGATCTAAAAATTCGACTTTAGGAGCGCGCGCCACGGATATTGTCGTACTCGTCGTCGCCGCTGACGATGGCGTGAAAGAGCAGACTGTTCAGAGCATTAAGTATGTTTTAATTAGACCTATTTTTTGTATAAGTCTAGAAATGCCTAGTAAGTGAATAGAAAGTATTTTAATAAGATAAAACTGTATTTCAACTAGAAAGCTATCTAAAAACTTTAAAAACTTTTCAAAAAGTACAAATTTCCGTCAAAAAATGGCCGGGTACTAGTATACTTTGGGGGGGCCAAAAAATTTTTTTCGGCCAAAATTTCTCATTTTGCACTATTTTGTTCAGTTTTTCATGCTGAATCGAATGCCAGTGTTTCCAGATTTTTTTATTATTGCAACAACATAAAAATTAGGCAACAATAACAATTACTAGCAGGGGAGGATCTCCTTTACATGCGACCAAAAGCTGAAGAATGGATCGCATGCTTAGGCTTAGGCTTAAGCTTTGACCTAAGCTCAAGCTCAGGCTCAGGCTCATGCTTTGGCTCCTGCCCTGCATTGGCTTTGGCTCAGGTTATGCTTAGGCTTATCTGCGGCTTGTGCTACGGTATACTACTGAAAAACTATTGAAATTGCTTGTAATATAAATAGTTAATTATTACTAGAAAACATGATATAAAAAATCTGGAAACACTTTCATTTAATTCAGCACGAAAAACTGAACAAAATAATCGAAAATGAGAAATTTTGGCCGAAAAAAATTTTTTGGCCCCCCCAAAGTATACTAGTACCAATGGCCGTTTTTGGTCGAAATTTTTTATTTTTAGGAATACTAAAAAAAGAGTTTGAAACACTCCCGCTCGTCATTTTTAAAAAAATTCGATCGTGAGAAATTTTTTGACCTCCCCACGGTAATGGAAAAGAACCTAATAAGTTTTTTTTTCGAAATACTCTTCAGGTTCGCCCAAGACGCCGGCGTGCCGATAGTGGTGGCTGTGAACAAAGTGGATAAGCCGGAAGCGGATCCGGTAGGTGATTCTAGAGTTACTTGCAGAAATTGATGGTCTTCCGATCGAGCTAAAAAAAACTGATTTTAGGAGCGCGCCAAGCGTGATCTGCTGCAGCACAACGTCGTCGTCGAGTCGCTGGGCGGCGAATCGCAATGCATCGAGGTGTCCGCGCTATACAGAAAGAATTTGCCAGCGATACAGGTACGAAAATACAGTGCTTTCTCGAATAGAAGTTCTTAGGAGGCAATCCTGATCCAGGCCGACTTGATGGAGCTGAAATCCACGAAAAATGGGCTCGTTGAAGGGGTCGTCATCGAAAGCACCACTCAACATGGTAGGGGGAGTCTGGGTTCTTTCGCATTACCGGGGAGGGGGGATTTTTGTGTACGTCCAGAAATGTTGAGTAACTTATTATCAAAGTGTTTCAATAGTATTTTAGTAAATTGTAACCATATTTCAGCGAGCAAAAAATCTAAAAACTTTAAAAATATTAGAGAAAGTGGATATTTTTATCAAAAATCGGCCATTTTTGGTCGAAAATCTAAATCTTTATATTTTTTTAATCAATTAATAATTAAAGGGGAGTAAAAAATTAATAATAAGGGGGGGGTGGGATGATTTTTTTTTTTTTTTTTTTTTTTTTAAAAAAAAAAAATTTTTTTTTTTATAATATATTTTTTAGGGGTTTGAAACTCCAAAACAAATTTAAATTTAATTTAAATTTTTTTTTTTTTTAAAAAATAAATTTTAATTAAATTTATATAAATTATAATTTTTTTAAAAAATAAAAAAAATTTAATTTTTTTTTTTATATAAAAAATTTATATTTTTTAAATTTTTTTATTTTTTTTATATTTTAAATTTAAAAAATGTATTTTGTTGTTTTTTTAAAAAAACCCTTTTCCCCCCCCCCAACAACCTTATCCCCCCCAATTTTTAAAGTTTTCACGTTTAGGAATAATAAAAACAGTTTAGAAACACTTACAATATTTAGATTGGAAAAATTCGATCCTATGAGAAAGTTGCCCCCCCCCCCGATGATGCGAAAGCGCCGGAAATTGTTAGTTATAGAAAAAACGGCTGTTTGGCGATTTGTTCCAAAAGTAAAGAAGATGGGTTTTTAAAACATAAATTTCCATCTCTTCCAGGCGTCGGCAAGGTGTGCACCGTGTTGGTGACGCGCGGCGTGCTGAAGAAGGGAAAATATCTCGTTTGCGGCCATGCATTGTGCAGGGTGCGTTTTGCAATTTTTAGTGGTATAGTAAATTGAATTGATATTGGTAGTTTAAGTATTGGAAATGCATTGAAAAAAATATTAATATTGGTAAAATCGCAATTTTTAGGTGCGGACGATGACCGACGAGAATGGGAAGCCAATGGCCGAGGCGGGCCCTAGTACGCCGGTCCAGATTTCGGGTGCGTTTTTTGTATTTAGTGGTTTCTCGTCATATTTTTCAATATTTAAAACTTTAGTATTTGATGTATTTAACAATCAGAAGTTCAAATTTAGGCTGGAAGGAGGAGCTGCCGACCCCGGGCGACCAGGTGCTCGAAGCCCCGACAGCGGACCGGGCCCAAAAATGCATCGACTACCGGGCGAAGCGGGCCATGGAGAGCAAGGCGGCCAAGGACTGGGTACGGTATTGGTGGTGATTTGTATCTAGGGCTGATGTCTATAAATGAATTAGTCGAGGCAAATAGTCTTGGAACATAGAATTATCGATATTTTTAAGCATTTTCGAAAACTTTGGAACTTCGCGCAAAAATACATCAGAAAAGTCGCTGAAGAATTAACCAGTTAAAAGATTGAAGTATTTGCTTAGGTATAAGGGTGCTCATTAAAAAAAACTTATAAAAACTTTCGAAAATTTTTTGACTTCTTGATGAAAAATAAACATTTCGAACTTTCAAAATTTTTTGAACGATTTTTTGTGATTTTCGAGCATTCGAAAACTACCAAAACATAGAAAAATACAAGATTTATTATTAACAAGTAGATATGGACGGAAAACAAAGAAAAATCCGAAAAATCCCCCTGCTATGAGTCCATTGCCGAGAATTCTAGCCGCTATAGAAGCGGGTTTTAACGAATTAAAGAAACCTTAGACAGAATTTGCAGCATCACTTGTTTATAGGAAGAAATTGCCGGCCAGCGTGAAGAAGAGCGGGCGGCATATTTGGCAAATCGCCAGGTTAATTTTTAAAAACAATGCAAACTTTTTTTATGATTAGGCGCTCCTGGACAAGGGCTGGCGCTACGGGTCGACGATTCGCCAGGTGGTGCACAAAACGCAGAAGTATCTGCGCGACGAGGGCGGCCAGGAGAAGCCGTCGCTGGCCATTATTGTAAGATTATTGTCATTTTAGAGTATTTTATCTTTAGCTCTAATGCCTAACTTATGTATTTAATTTTACCGGAAATACCGTAAACATTTCATTCTTTTTGCAGCTCCGAACCGACGTAGAAGGAACGCTGGAGGCCATCCTCGACGTCATCAACACGTATTCCAGCGAAAAATGCGATTTTCAGGTATTTAACGTAATTTAAAGTTTCTTTACAGTAGATTTTTTTTAGCTAGTCGACTTTGGAGTGGGAGCGCCGACGGAGAAGGAGCTCGAGCTGGCCAAGGATACGAATGGTATTGTAGCAGAGATTATTGAGGAAACGGCGAGGGCAGGCTAGCAGAGATTGTTGAGGAAGAGGAGAGGGCAGGCTAGCAGAGATTGTTGAGGAAGAGGAGAGGGCAGGCTAGCAGAGATTGTTGAGGAAGAGGAGAGGGCAGGCTAGCAGAGATTGTTGAGGAAGAGGAGAGGGCAGGCTAGCAGAGATTGTTGAGGAAGAGGAGAGGGCAGGCTAGCAGAGATTGTTGAGGAAGAGGAGAGGGCAGGCTAGCAGAGATTGTTGAGGAAAAGGAGAGGGGCAGGCTAGCAGAGATTGTTGAGGAAGAGGAGAGGGCAGGCTAGCAGAGATTGTTGAGGAAGAGGAGAGGGCAGGCTAGCAGAGATTGTTGAGGATGAGGAGAGGGCAGGCTAGCAGAGATTGTTGAGGAAGAGGAGAGGGCAGGCTAGCAGAGATTGTTGAGGAAGAGGAGAGGGCAGGCTAGCAGAGATTGTTGAGGAAGAGGAGAGGGCAGGCTCAGGGATGTTGAGGAAGAGGAGAGGGCAGGCTAGCGGGATTGTTGAGGAAGAGGAGAGGGCGGCTGCAGAGATTGTTGAGGAAAAGGAGAGGGGCAGGCTAGCAGAGATTGTTGAGGAAAAGGAGAGGGCAGGCTAGCAGAGATTGTTGAGGAAAAGGAGAGGGCAGGCTAGCAGAGATTGTTGAGGTAGAAAAAACTTTTTTAGCTATCATCTACAACTTCAACCTGACGGTTCCGCCCAAAATTCGAGCGCAAGCCGAGAGCGAGGGTGTCCGTATTGAAGGCTTCAACGTCATCTATCGGTCCGTTTTCCAGTTTTTTAAAGTTACGAGTATTAATAAATCGTTTTTACTATTATTTTGTTTTTTACAGGCTAGTCGACGGGCTGAAGGCGGAGCTAAACTCGAGATTGCCGCTGGTCACCGAGCTCGAGCCGCTCGGCGAGGGCCACATTTTGAAGGTAGCCAGTAAATCCTTTTTATGATTTTCTTAATCAGCAATGGACTATTGTTTAATTCTATTTTAATTTTTCAAAGGAATTCCTGCTCTCGGATCGTGGGCGCAAGAAGCAACCGGTCGCCGGCGTGCTGGTCGATTGGGGCAGTTTTGGAAGGTGAATTTTTCGGGTCTTTATCTCCTTACGTGTTTCTTTCTTTAACTACAATTTTGTAAATTTAAATTAATTATTTTCAAGTTAAATTAAACATTTTAGAACGTGCATCTTCCGCTTCTCCCGCCTGGGCGCCGTCTACTACGAGGGCCCGGTCGAGTCGATGAAGTGCGCGAACGAGACGGTCGGCACGGCAAAGACGAATACGGGTATGTGACATTTAGATAAAGATTTAAAAGCGAGAAACGATTTTTAAAAAGAGTGAAGAGTTTCAGCGGTTTAAAAAAATTGAAGTTTTGTTCGAAAATGGATTTTTTCTTCGTAAATTCCATGTTTTGATGTTTTTTAATGAAAATTCGATCGCAAGAAAACGTCACGATTTTTTAAAAAATATATAAAAATATAGATTTTCGATCAAAAATGGTGGATTGTTGCCAAAATTTCGACTTTGGAACACTTTTTTTTATAGTTTTTCGATCGTTTTTCTACCTGAAAATTGTTTATTTTGCTAAAAACACTATTAAAATACTTCTTATTCAGTTATGAGGTATTTCCACATGTTTATACAAATTTTCAAATTTTTGTTCCGGTTTCGAACCTTCTAAAAAAACCGATACTTCTTCTTCTAAATTCCTGAAAGACCTCTGTTTTGTTTAGAAGTCGGCCTGCTGCTGCCCAACAAGGAAATCCGCTTCAAGACCGACGACCAGGTGGTGGTGCTCGAAAAGAAGGAGGCGAGTTTTTGCAGTCCTTTTTCTTTTCCTAAATTGTCTTTGCTAGATCGCCCTCAGTTTTAGAGCGTTCTAGTACTTACTAGAAGCTTTAAAAAGGCATTAAAACGGTGTCAAACTACTTTTTTCAGGTTCGCCAAGAGATCGACTGGTACCCGTCGGGCTTCTAAACACCACCCAATCAGCATTTTTTTGAAAATCTCTTTCATCACTTTTCTAGTTCGCCTTTTCCTTTGTTCTCATATGCTCACGCACTACGGTTCGACACGCTCTCGATTTCGTTGTTTAGAAATTCTTGTTTTTGTTGTGATTTTCGATCGCGAATTCAGACCCTCATGGAAAAACGCATGTTTTACCACATAGCTAGGCGTAGCTGGTTTAGATTTTAGTTTGATTTGTGCCGGTTATTTGGATTTTTACTCTGGGTAATAAATTTTTGGATATTTTTCCTTTTTAGCGGCTTTCACGTTAAAAAAAAAAATTGAAATTTCGATTTTCAAGCGCGGAAATTTCCGCCACAATACGTGTGACGGTTTTGCCGCTCGCTAAAATGCACTCGCCTACGGTGGGTTCCAGGGTCAGGAGGGCCGATTTTACCACATTTGGATTTTTGGCCAAAAGCCGCGCGATTTTCGGTTACGTTTTGGATTTCTCGAGTCTTCGTTGCTTTTGCTGTCATTAGAGCCGCAATAGGGCGATTTTTTAGCGGTTTTATACATTTGCTTGCGCATTACTCATTTTAATCATTTGCCTGCCCAAGTTCCCTGCTCGCCCTGTTTTTGAGCGCTTTTTGTCGCGATGCAAAACCTTCAGTCCCTCTTTTGCCCGATGCGCGCCAAGGTCGGCGGTTCAAAACGGCCCCTTGAAGCCGGGGTTTAAAATGTCAACAAAAAACTTACCGCCCGCTCGCTAACGGTTCAAATTATGGACTTGAAGCGTCAATCGCTTCTTTGAGTCTCTTTCGGCCCTGCTCTGATCGTATTCTTCGTTAGCCACTTGGCGCGAATGTTAGTGCTTTGTAAGCCTTACCTTTTCCTTTTGTTTTGTATGGGCTGGAGCTTCCATTACTAAGCTATTGTTTCGTTGGAGTAGGAATATATTGTGGCCGTTCCACAAAAAGTCTTACTTAAATTGTGACGCTCCTAAGATCCTTTGCATCCTTGCGCGATTCATTTCCTCACGCTCCAATTTATTGCCATGTCCTTTTTCATGTTATAGTTCTGTCTTTCCAGAGTTCGCATACAACTTGCTGCTCACAATGTTCCGCAATCCTGAGGACTTCTTGGATGAAGAAGACTCGTTCAAAGAGTAAGCTTTAGTCATTTTATTTTAATACTAATTTCCGTTTTAGGCCTCAACGGTACCCCTGGGACGATCCGGTGGACTCTGAAAGGACGGTGGCTAACATTACAAGCCAGTCTAACCCAGGTATATTTTGCCAAGATTCGGAAAAAATTCGGAGGCTCGTTGCTCCGGGTAACGCAAAGGCTTGGGTGGGGGCTCATTTGGGGTGCGCTAACACCTTGGCCTACGGGGCTCCTGGTACCCGACGGCCCGGATTAAGAATTAGTCGGGCCGGGTGGCCCCCGGAAAAACGTGCTCGGCTCATTTATTGCGGACACATGGCTGGGTGCGGTAGCTAAGAAATCAGGATTTGGCTTTGTACAGCAGCCAGGCGCGGTTGGTTCTCTAACATATAAACGGTGCTAGACTGTTAGTGAGGGGCCGAACTGTTGTCTATGTTTTTTCGTATAAATTTAAAATTTTGCACAATTATTTTAAAGGCTTTCAGTCATTAGACTTCTAAAACTGATTGTAAATTCAGGAGTTCAATCTAGGAAAAATTGAAACTGCAATTTTTGCTCGCTAGCTCCCCTTCCTCGCACCCCGCTAACAGTTCAGCACCATAAAAGCTGTTCTATGATGTAATTTGCTTCATTTTCTATTTGCACTTTTAGACATCACAATGACAGCCCGGGCCGACGTTCCGAAGCGCGCCGCGTCAGATCAAGTGCGCCCTGACGGCGTCGAGCTGTTCGCCGCCCTGCAGAACAGCGCAGATCTGACGAATCGCAACCAGCTCCAGCGGCTCAAAATTATCCAGCTCGAAGGGTACATCCTGGAAACCCAGGGCAAGTCTGCACTGGATATCTCGGAGGAGGTATAGCTTTTCTTTCGAACTTTATTTTTTTTAGTACTCCAAGCTAAAGGACGAGCAGTCGCAGTGGGTGGTGCGCGAGACGACGTTGGAAGCCGAGATTGTAAAGCTGCGGAAGCGAGAGGACGACCTGACCGATCAGGTCCGACGGCTTTTATTGGGTGATACTTCCTTTTTTAGATCGCTCGCATCAAGGCCGAGTACGACACGTGGGTCGATGATGCCACCAGGCAGAACCAGCTCCTCACCGAAAAGCTCGACGAGGTCCGCAGGCGCTTCCCCCATCTCGACGACACCATCGACCCGATTTTCGGGGATGCGCATCAACGGTATAGCTTTCTTACATAGATCACTCGTTTGGCCTTGAACTCCTGAATGGATATGCAAAGCTTGCTTAAATTCATCAACTATCGGTCCTCGAGGAAAGGTTTTTTGTTCGAAGTTAGGCGTGGTCCAAAATGAACTACATCAAACTTTCATGAACATTTGGTCCGAGCTTATGTTTTTATTGGATGAGTTATGTACTTCGGAAACCCCTTATCAGCTAAAAATGTCCCTTAGCTCTCGGTGATTTTTGTGTTTAGGGAGGTCGGTGACCTGCAGGAGGAGATCGCCAAACTCGAGCTCGTTCAACGCGACCTCGTGGCCGAAAACGAAAACTACAAGCGCCAGCTGAGTGAGTGGAACACGAGCGCAGTCTCCGGTGAAAAGGTAACGTTGTTGAGATTCTTCCTTTTCTTATTCTGCTGCTTTAGACATTTGACGTGAACGTCGGAGAGCTGCACAAGCACTCCTACCAGCAGCGCATCGAGGAGCTGACCCGAGCCATCGACGAACGCGACCAGCAGCTGAAGGCCAAGGAGGAGGAACTGCTGAAGACTTTTCACGTGATCAAGGTACAATTTTCATCCCAGGTTTTTGATGCTTTTAGACCATCGAAAAGGCCAAGGCTCGTCTCGAACAGCAGCACCTCGACCAGTCATCACAAATCTTCCGGGACCAAATCGCGTCCCCAAGGGGCCGCCAGCAAGCGGTCCGTTTTTTTAAACTTTGATCTTGCTCTCTGCTTCCCCTGCAAAATAACTCCTTGTTTTTAGGCCGACAAGTTCATGTGCGAGTTGCAAGAGCTCAAACATGAAAACAAGGAGCTTCGCGAGCGGTTAATCCGGCTCGGCGCAACAGTCCGCGAGCGATCGATGCACGAGGAGAGCCTCAACAACGACAACGACCTCCAGGGCTTGCTGGACTACGCAGAGGCCCTCCAAAATGATGATCGGTCGAAGAACGAGAAGCTCTTCAATTTCTCGGAGCATGACCAGGTAACCTTTGACGGCGCATTTTCAACGTGAATAATCCTGATGGCGAATTTTTTGACGGATTTTTTTGGGCGATCTCCCGGAAATTTTTCAGGAAAAGCCCTACATATTGACATACATTTCGACATTTTGAATTCCAATATTCTAGTGCAAACTTCTTCTGACAACTCCAATTATTCTCGCTCTTTTAGATGGATGCCGCTCAGGCTTCAATGGCCGCGGACCAAGAAGAGATCGCAAATGTGGAGCGCTCCTTCGCGGCCTTCAGCAAACTGGATGAAGCCAGGGCCCTGGTCGACACACTCAAGGACTCTGTGCAGAAGCTCTTCGCTCGATGCCAAGCCAGCGCTGCCCTCCTGCTCAAGATCCAGGACCACCTCAGTGCTGCCGACCCCGCACTCGCCGCTGAGCTGCGCCAATTGAGCCTCCAGCTTGACGAAAGCATCAAGGACGACGTGAGGCAGACAATTGAAGGTAATCTATTTTTTTGCTTCAGTTCGAGCCGGGGTTAAAGCAATTTTTGGATGTAGATGATTGTTGTCTAGAAAATAGGCATACTTTGTCTGGTGTTTTACGGTTCACTAAAAAAACATTAAAACTGTAGTTTTTTATCATTTTTTCTCTTTTTCATACTTTATTGACTAACGAAAAAGTTCTGAAATCGCCGCTAACCCGGAAGCACCTATTTGCGGGACAACTTTAAATAACACTTTTAGAGCTCGAAGCCTCATTCCAAGAGGCCAGCTGGATCCTCGAGCAGTCGATCAACGAGTCGCGCTTGGAGATCTCGCTGACGGAGCGTGCTGGTGGTGGAAGCTCGGGCGTCGACGTCAATAAGTCTCTCTCCCGCCTCTTCGCCTTGTCGCCGAAGGCTGCCGGATCACCGCGCATCTTCGACCAGACCCGATTTGTCAAGAAGGAACAGTTTGATGAGGTAAATTGTCACCTAACGTTTTTTATGGCAACTTTTAGCTCAACACGAAGTACGAGGCGCTCAACGGCCAATACGAAGCGCTCGTCGCCGAGTATGAAGATGTCAAGAACAAGCTCGACTACAACATGAAATTGGAGCTGCAGAAGAACGGCGAGCTGGCGAAGACACGAGCGACCTACGACAGCCTCAAGAGCCAATACGAGGAGCTGCAGCGCTTCCACGCCCAGGCCGAGATGGCCTGCTCGGAGATGAAGGAGCAGAACGAAGCGTTGGGCGCCGATCGCACACGTGACCAGCAGAACCTCGTCGAGGCCAAGCGTGACGTGGAGGTAACAGTTTTTTTTGTTCGGTTTTAAAACACCCTGATCTAATTTTTGCTAATGTGTTTTTTTTCAGGCTCATAAGGCGCTGGTGGCCGAGCTCGAAGACAAGCTTCGTGAACGCGAACAGGGATCCGCTCATCAGCTGGCGCGCCTGGAGAGCAAGACGGTGGAAATGGCGGAGCACGCCGAATATCTCCTCAGCGAGGTATCGAATTCTTTTTGCAGCCCAAGCTAAAATTCCTGTTCAGATTGAAGGCTACAAGGGTGAAATTGAGCAGCTGGAGGCCGACAATGAGAAACTCCTCAAACAGAACCGCGACAACCAGGCCGAGCTGCAGTCGAAGGCCGAGCTACACGCCCGTCTCCAAGAACAAGTTCAGGAGATGGAAACTGTCTGCAAGGTCGTAATTCTTCCATAGGTTTTTAAATTTTTTTTGCTTACAGCAAGCCAAGGCTTCTGCCTCCCAGCATAGCCGCACCGATGAGCAGTTGCAGTCGCTCGAACACGCGCTGCTCCAAGTCCGCACAGCCGTCGGCCAGCTCGCCCGCATCCGCGGTGACAAGAACGATGCTTCCGCTGCGTCTCGCCCGCCTCCCTCTGGAAAGTCGGTAATTTTGCCATTCTGTTGTTGCCACTGTTGCGTCCCATTTCGGGGAAAAATGTGAGGATTTAGCTTCAGAGTCGTTATTTTTCGCCGTTTTCAAATTATTATTCGGTGGGGCGGCAAAAACATACTTCTCTTCAGGCCCATCCTCGAGCGCATTACCGAGCTGATCACCGAGCTCGAGAAGTCGGTGAACCGTGCGTGCGAGTGGACTCGGCATCAGGAGAAGGAGATGCGCGAGAACAACCAGCGCGCCAAGAACATGGAGAGCCTCCTCAAGCAGATGCCCGTCACCAGCAACCCCGCCCCGCCGGCTTCCACGTCTTCCAGCGCCGCCGAGCTTCGCTCATCCGCCACCGACACCAAGGAGAACAGGCCCGCTGAAGCAGCCGTCCAGAGTACGAAATTTTGTTTTGCTTGAGGATTCTCTGGTGGTAGCAACCCGGAATATTTTCCAGCAACATTTTTTCTTTTTAGAGTACAAGGACCCGTTGCGCGAGGTGTTCTACCAGCTCTGCACCCGCACGAATGCGCTCGTTCAGCTGTTGAAGGGATCGGATGCCACCAAACGTGTTGGGGTGAGCAGTGCACCTATTTTTCGTGCTTTTTTTTCTTCTTTCGTGAGCTTCTCATGCAAAATTTGTCGTTTAGACGGGAGAAGTGCTGCAACTGGCCCGCGACCTGCGTGACGTCGTCACCAAAAAGTTTCACGCGGTTTCGAAGACCCCTGTCGGCGCTGAGGAGCTGCACCCCAGCGAGCTCCTGGAACGGATCGCAATGCTGCTCGACCAAAACTCCAACTTGACGGCCGCGCTCAACGGAAGCAAGGCGCTCCTCAAGGAGCTGCAAAGTGGCGCGAAAGGAGGCTGCAAGCTGGTTGGTGTTTTTATCTTTTCTTGGTGATAATTGAGTTTTTTGACGTGACTCTCGTTCAGCCATTTCTAAATAGATTGTTCTGAATTTCCAGCGTTATCTAATCGCCTCAATGACATCACTAAACTCCATTATCTCCTCAAAATGACTTTTGGCACAGCTAATTTCTTTTTTTAGGACGCCGTCCTCGCCGTCGAAGTGGGCGACGAGTTGCAGAAGATCCGCGCGACGCTCCTCGACTGCCGTGACAGCGTCGGCGGCTCTTCATCGAAGCGCCAGCCGTTGACCACGGATCGTCAGACTAACAATTAAATATTTGAAATTGTGATTGTGTTTTACCTTAAGATGTGACCAAATACTGATGTGTAAATGCCTCCGAATAAATGGATGTCACTGCATTGGATTGCAAAAAACTCGCAAATGACCCCAGTTACAGGGAATCGGTGTTTGGAACAAGGTCTTGTCATTTTTCCGATCACGCTTTTGGCCACGGTATTTCCGATTTGCGTAGTTTCGGAAGTTCGACGACGGCTTTTGCCTCGGATTTGCCTTTTTTCGAGCCAGAGTTGCTGAAATATGGTTTTGGAGGGTTGCGGAATGTGGCCGAACTCTGCTTTGCTATCGCTTTTCGCGCTGGTTTTGCTCGCGGAAAGGGGCTCGCCAGCGCGCGCCAAGTGATGCGATTCGAACCCGGATAGAAAAGGCGCAGTTCGTGCAGCTAAAATCATAGTCAATCACGGTGTGCTGCTCTAATTTACGCGTTTTTGTTTAGTTTTCGATACACAATTCAGCAGACTGCTTCAAAACTTCCCTATGCTTACATGTGCTCATCAAGAACATACTCATATTAATAATTCATTCATTTTCCATGCTCATTTCCGTAATTCCGCATTATGTTGAGGCTAATGCGTCTTTTCCAGTCGCCCCGGATGAGCCTAGCCCGGGAGTACGACGTCTCGAAGAAGCTGGGCGAGGGCACGTATGGCGTCGTCTACTTGGGTCACCACAAGGAGACTGGCCGCCCCGTTGCCCTCAAGAAGATCGCCCTCGACCGGTAGACTATAAATTTTTTGCTGATCTGGTTTTTTAGTGACAACGAGGGAGTGCCGAGCACTTGCATCCGCGAGATCTCGATCCTGAAGACGTTGAACCACTGCAACGTGGTCAAGCTCTACGACGTCATTCAAGGATGTGGGTTTTTGGCAATTTTCGGCCTGACTAATGACTATTTTGCAGCGATGAAGCTCTACCTCGTCTTCGAGTACATCGAGCGAGACCTGAAGATGCTTCTCGATCGACTACCGAACAAGCGACTCCCCATCGACTATTCAAAGGTAATTTTGTTACGTTACTTTCAAATCTTAGTAGAGCTTCCTCTTCCAACTGCTCCAAGCGCTCGCCTACTGCCACGTGCGCCGCGTTCTCCACCGGGACCTGAAGCCGCAGAACATCCTCGTCAACAACAAAGGTATGAACTTTGTTGCTTTTGCTGATTATATAACTTTACAGGTGTGATCAAGCTGGCCGACTTCGGCCTCGCGCGATCCCTTTCACTGCCCAGTCGAGTCTACACGCACGAGGTGGTCACACTGTGGTATCGGGCACCAGAGGTATGATTTAAATGCTTCGAGAAATAGAAAAATGGAGTGCTTTAGTGCTGCACAGACTTTCGAGAAAACTCAAATGCTTGAATTTTCAATTTGGATAAAAATTGCTACGCTAATAGGCTGAAAATAGGCCGTTTTAAAACATATCCTAGTTTATAGCAAAATTGGAAAAGTATTCGCCTCGGAAATACTAGCCGACTTTAATAATTTTTTTTATTTTAATAAATTTTTGCATATGTTTTTTGCAGGTACTCCTCGGCTCGGCCTACTATTCGTCTGGCGTCGACGTCTGGAGCCTGGCGTGCATCTTCGCCGAGGTTCGTTCTTTTGAATTTGCTGAAGCTCTCTGTTTTCTAGATGGTGCGCGGTAAGCCGTTGTTCGCCGGCGACTCCGAGATCGACCAACTCTACACCATCTTCCGCATTCTCGGCACGCCCAACGAGGAGGTATTTAAAACTTCTGAAAAACTTTATAAATTTCAAATTCTGGTGTGATAAAATATGTTTTGTATTTTGAAGAAACTTTTGTCGGATTTTATGTTCAGAAATAGTAAAAACAACAGTTTAGAAGCTCTTTCTTTAAATTTTATTAGAAAAATGGCTCGCCCGGTTCCGGAAATGCTAAATAATCCTCTTTTTTCAGTCGTGGCCCGGCTGCATCAAGATGCCCGGCTTTCAAGCAACGTTCCCAAAATGGTCCTACAACGAGCTGCAATTCAAGGTATATTGAATTTCCTTGTTTGACATGACTTTCCGACTTTAGGCCGAGATGCGCCCGCTCAACGACGACGGCTACGATCTGCTACGGGTGAGTTTTTGGCGTTTTTCTAACGAAATTGTTTTTAGCAAATGCTCCTCTACCCGAACGCGACGCGCTACACGGCCAAGCATGCCCTCCAACATAGGTATGTTTTAGGGCAGGCGGATACTTTTTTTGCGAAAACTATTCTTCTAAACTAATATTTTTGAAAAAATCCGTAGTCCGAAAATTTTTGTTACTTTTCCTCGTCCTTCTGGCGTTTACCTATTCGTAGGCAGTTTTCTCGAAATTTTGATTTTCAAAACGACTCGACAAAGTTATTTATATCCGGCGATGCGATTTTTGATAATCTCCATGTAAATCGTTGTTTAAAATTGCGTTTGAAAAATGACGTTTTTTGCTTTCATGCCTCTACTTTTATCTTTTTACCGTAATGTTTTAGATATCTACGGGATATCCGCGTCGACTTGGACCCGGTCACCACGCTCATCGACGAGGTCGACGCATCGCCTCAAAGGTATATTTTTTTATTGAGAGCGGAAAAGTGCCATAATTTTTTGTCAAAAATGACAGATTTTCGAAAAATTTAAAATTTTTCAATTGATCCAAAGCACTTTATTACCCCTCGGATCCACGATTTTGCAAAAGCGTGTCCGAGTGATTTATTTACCTTTATTTTTCAGGGTAAACGAGGAAGACTTTGACGAGAACGACTTCTAACAGCCCAACGCCGCCCATCCATCACCAAAAACGGCCATTTTCTCTTTATATCCCCCTCCTGCTTCTTCCAGATTGTGCTTTCATTCTTGCTGTGTGCTTGTGTGTCCGTGTCTATTTGAATGTTTCCACAAAATAATTGCCCTCTATTCTGCTCTTTCAATATCCCCGGTTTGCTCAAAAAATTGTGATCTCTGCTCCCTAATTCCCTTTTATCGATGCTCAATGTTTTAATGTATAGATTTGATAAGTTACATGTCGCAATAAAGGCCATTAACTGTATTGCTGGGATTCTTTTTGAATTGTTTCTTTATTGTCGAGTTTCTGAATTGTGGATTATGCTCTCTTTAAAAAGATTTAATTTGCAGCGTAATAATTCGGATTTTCAACAATTCTATCAATTTTTGGGCGTTAGTTTGCTAGTATTCCGTAATTCCGTTTTGGCAGTTTTTCTATACTAGGAGATTATTGCAAAAAACTTGCTTTTTTAAATTATTTTAGTTATTAACAAATGTTGTGATTATTTTTCACACATTTCTATATCAATGAGAGTGCTCAATGTTTTCCCGGTAGAGTTGCGTTCCTCTAAAGTTCAGCCGAACAGGTTTTTAGGTCTTTCCGCGGCGCTCGATGATGCAAATTGCAAAAGTTGATGTTCTTCAGCGCTGAAAGGGCCATGAAGCTGGTCAACGTTTGCCCATTCAGGCCGGCGATGAGGCCATGATGGATGCGCCGACGGGCCGTATCCATCTCCCGACTTTTTCTGCTAGCGTTATTTGTGAGTGCGGCGGAACGGACGGGGAGAAGGTAAATTATTGGCGGCAATTTGGCCCACGGTAGGGGGGTGGGTGGGCCCTGGGGTTGGCTCATTTGTGGAACATTATTTTTTCAGTACAGGACTTTTCTTTTTTGTAGTTTTTATTGCCAGATAGATGCAAAAATAAATGTCATAATGTAATAATCCAGTGCCATTTTTCCGGTTTTTATATATTTATTACTATCTAGGTATTATCCTTTTGTTTCGAATAAGTAATCGAAAGCGTAGAAATAAAAGAATAGGGAAACTATTGAAATCAACGAGTTATTTTTATTTTTACTTAGGTGATTTTTAGTTCAACGATTTGAAAACTCATTGAAAAATCGGTTTAACTGGCCCGTCAAAAATATGCGGATTTTACTGACAGATTTTCTGGGGGGTTGCCTAGTTTCGGGGCATCTTTCAGGCTGCTTTGCTGCCCAAAAACTCTAAGGCTCCAAGCTAGATATTCTTTTTAAGGTACTATGAATAGGGATCTGGTTTTAACGTGATTTTAAGTATATAAATATTTCAGTGTGTTTTTGGCATTTTCCGACGTTTCCCGCTATTATCCGGACCACACAATAAAACCCAAGTTCTGGACAATTTTTAGGGTGTAGAGAAGCTGTTTTTCCGGGCAGCCATATTGCCTGCCGTTCTTTGGCCTGAAGTGTGGGCCACCCTCCAAAAAAATGGAAACAATGGGATTCGAGGCGGGACCCACCGTCATTAACCCTGCGAAATACCCTGGCTAAATAGCCTGGGCAGCATTTTTTGCCATTGTTAAACTCTACTTTCACTTCCCCCATTTTTTTGTTAGACTTTTCTAGGCGCCAGCTTGCACTAAGGCGTTCTTTGGCCATTTTTCTGCGTAAAAACCCTTGCTTAAAAATCTAAATCTTTCAGTGAAAATGTTATTAGTAAAAATCGAGACATTCTACCTATATGCGTTATTTTTAGGGTTTAGCGTGATTCAATTTATTATATTGATTTATCTATATTTATAATAATATAAATATACAGGGTGTCCCAAAAAAAAAATCGACCCCCCTCTAGCGGGCCGCAGTCATGTCCGATTTTGACGATTTAGGTATCTATCGAAAGCACTCGAAAAGGCGAGAAAACAAGCACTTTTCGTTTTTCAATATGGGAATTTTAATTCATTAAATTTAGGGCCAAAATCGATGAAAACTGCAGATTTTATGCAAAATCGGCATGTTAATTGCTTGCTAAAGCAAACAGGACGATGCTGGTTTTACGCTTTTTACAGAAATCATTGAATATCGAGCGAAGGCTAAAATTTTTTGGAAAACCAAAGGCGCTTGTTTTCTCACCGTTTGAAGGGCTTTCGAATGGTGTGAAAATCATTCCGATCCGAGCTTTCTGCGGTCCGCTAGAGGGGGGTCGATTTTTTTTGGGACACCCTGTATTTATTAAAATATTATTGATTTACTATTTTTCAAAGGCGTTGTTTTTATTATAGAATTATCTGGGTAATAGTTCACTTTACCCCACAGCCGAAGGGCCTATATCAGCAGCCGATATTTTCGCTATTTTTTGGACTTTCTCAGCGCCAATCGATAGAGCGTCGAACAATATACTAACAGTTTTATTTTGAGCCTACAATAATGTAAAATAAAAAGTTATAGCGAAAACTTTCCGGCTAGGGCGGTTAAAGTAAACCGGATCCAGTATGGTATTGCTCTATTTAATATTTTTCGAAAAATGTACTCTAGAAAATCTGTTTTCGATCCCTTTTTAGGCGGGCAAAAATATTAGCAGCTTACAAATAGAAAATATGAAAAAAATCGTCTAAATGATGTGTTTCACTTTCGCTTCATCTTTATGCACCTCCCGAACTGCTAATAGCCGAGACATTGTTGCTAAGGAAATAAGTGAAATTTCGAATCGAATTTTTTTCAATTTCAGTTATTTTGAAAAACTCGCAAACCAGCCAGCCGGCGTATTTTGTGATTTTCAGGGTGATTTTTAGGCTTTTTGGACTTCGTTTCGTTGGGTGTCGTAGAAAATTCAGAAACGCAGCCGGGGAGTATATCTCGAGTCGGTGAGGTAGAAGGAATCAAAAAGATTGGGGTGGGAACGCTAAATGAATGGCCCCTTTTGTCCTGCTCACTTCCCTCTATGAGCTCGAGGCTCATTTCTGAGCTTCTCCCACTAGAAAGCCAAAAGCTCGTAATTTGCCTGGAATTCAGGTGGTTAATTTAATCAACTTGATTTTGTCATTCGATCGGTTTTCATCTAGTATGATTAGTAAAATTAATATCTGGAAAACGACACTTAATTCGATCATATTTTATTTTTTTTTTATTTTTTTTTCTGGTTTATAATATTCATAATAATTTCAAAATACTTTTCTTTATAATTTTAGGTTTATATAGTTTTTAAAATAAGCAATACTTTTATTAACAATTTCTTGACTTTTCGAATTAATTAATCGAACTGAAATGTTTCAGATTTTTGGCTAGAAAAGGGCCAAAATTCTAAGGTAATGAATATGGTTTCCATTTCCAAATTTTTGTTTTGAAACACCGCAATTATATCACCACCCTTTCGTTCCGTCCAGAAACCCCACCGTACCCCTGGAATTTCGACGAATTTCCCGAGACTAACCCCTAATTTAAGTAGAGTAGTTTCCACGGCATTCCTCATGCCAATTTGCAGTCAGTGGATTTTCTCGTTTTTGATTTTTTTTTTTTGCATTTGGCACCCTCGTAAAATCGTTTGGAAATATTTTTTTAGGCAACAGAAATCAACAGGCAAAAAAGACACATCAACGACTTAAATTAAATCCATCAGCCCTCCCGGAAAGCCAAGATTTCCAAAACATTAGAATTTGTACCGTAATTTGTATTATTACGTCTCGGTTACTCATTTATTCTACTCGTCTCTCTCTCTCTCTCTCTCTATCGCTGTCCCTCTCTCCCTCTCTCTCTGTTTCTTATGATTTTTCCATTTTTGGAATTCATGCGCGCTATGTAGCGCTATCCATTAAATTCTAGAAAACAGACCTTTCCCAGATCAATTACCTAAATTTCAACGATTTTCTCTATCTATTTTTTAAGAAACATTTCTTCTCCAAGCTTTTTAAATGTTCGCTAGAACTAGTTTTGGACAGATTTTATGCATCATTGTATTTATAAACAAGACTAAAATTGTTTCTTTTCATTCTAAAGGGACAGGGACAGTGGATGGGAACTAGCTTCCGGCAAAATCCCTCTAGAGCCAACGATATGTTTTTGGGCATTATGTATTACCCGGAAATCCTGAGGTCGGGAGAACTCTCGGTGAGGTAGGGGATTGGGAGGTTGAATACCTCCCCGGGGGGCAAATTCTGTTGACCCAGGCTCCGATTTCAGGGAATGGCCACCCAGGAGGGCCAACAGAACACAAACGCATTTTCGATACTCTTTTTTGTGCCATAGCTCTCCCTTTCCCTTTTTCCGGCAACCAGGTTGTTTCTGGAATCACGCCTTGCCACTAGAATCACTAGAGGAAGACCAGAGTCCAGTGTTGTTTTTGGATGGCTTGGCTTAGGCTTGGCTTAGGCTTCGTTGTTTCTTACTCCGGTCGTCTATAAATTATTTCGAACGATCTACGGAGATTAAACGAAACAATTTTTGCAGAAATACGGATTTACTTGAAACTTCATTTTTCAATCGCAAATCTTTTATGTTAATTAACACCTTATCTCAATAGTAGCTCTCTCTCTCTCTCTCTCTCTAGCGCGCTCTCTCTCTCTATCCCTATCTCTCTCTCCTTATCTCTCTCTCTCTCACTATCCCTATCTCTTTCCCTCTCTCCATCTCTTTCTCCCTCTCTCCCTCTCTCCCTCTCTCTTTCCTAATTTTCCAGCTGTCACCACCCCCTTAAACCGAACCCGGGAAAAGTGTTAGATGGGCCCCTGCCCGGGTCCTAAGCTAATGCGATTATGGGCCCCAGACGCCCCGGAGGGCTGAATGGGATGGTGAGCTGTAAATTTCCATAGGCCCGGCCGCTCTCAAATCTATTTCCCGAGCTGCTGCTCCATTATTTTTGGCACCTTTTAGCGCTCATAAGGATACGGTAGCTAGGGTACGGAATTGTGATAATTTATTCAGCACAATATTCAACATCTGGCCATTAATAGCACTGGAACGGCTGTTGCGCATCAATTCGTTGAAACACAAATTCTGGAACCCACAAA